GGTCCGTGAGGCGTGCGCGCCGGTTCGTGTTACGAGTCCGAGACGACAAAGTAGGCGTCTCAAACCAAGGTGGAAAGCATCGTGCCAAAGGCTGAATGACCGCAGAGACGTAAAAAATGTGCGGTCACAAACGATCCCTGTTGGGCACCTGGCGCAATCCCACAGTATTTTAGTCGCCTTATCCCGGTAAGGAGGCTCTGCTGGGACGGACTATTGTTTCCTACCAAACTCGTGGGATCAGAAATGAAAACAAATACACAAAACATAAAAACAAACACAAAGGACGGAAAAAACGATGACAACATGGCGATTCGAGAGAGCATCGAGAGGGGATTAATGGCAAGGAAAGAGGGGAGGGGCGAAACAGCCGACCAGTCCACAGTGTCCGACAAATCCAATGTCGGCCGACTGAGGAAAGACTCAAGGGCAAGTAGGGCGAGCGGGGATTTCTTCCCCGCCAGCGCCAAAAGAAGGGGGGGGAGGTTTTCTCCTCGAGTGAAACCGAGGATGGGGAACATCCTTTTAGTACCCCAAGGGGAAAGATGTTAGGAGGACCCAGAGGGGGGACGGGGATAACGCCCCCGAGTAAAGGTAGAGGGGTTGACGGCGATGCTGTCACAAGGCCGAGAAAAAACAGGAAGAAGGGAGTGGCCACCCCCGAAAAAGACCTCCTGAGAAAGCATAATGCTCTTAGGAAAGAGGTTAAAGACCTCAGGGGGGAGAATAGAAGGCTGAGGGAGGAGATAGAGGAACTGAGAGAGAGAATATCACCCCCTGCTCCTCCCGCCTCCGACACAGTAATCTACCCGCACCCTGCCAGCGCAGCATTGGGCTCAATGAGAGGAGCGGCCGATTGGGCGGAAGGGAAGGGACCCCTCCGACCGCCCGCGCGAAACCGGGCGGCGGGGCAACCCAGGGAAAGAAGGATAAATGCCCCTCCTCCCCCACTATCAATGGGGGGAGAAGATTATAAGAAGGTTGCCGGGACTGCTCAAAAAGCTTATCCCGGCAGCCCTGGTTGAACTGGGGTTGATCCCACCCCCAGCCACAACAACAGAGAAGGAGCTCCCTCCTCTGAGGGAGGAGAGGGGGAGGGGCGAGAGGGAGGAAAGGGCTAAGGCCGTTCCCCTTCCCTTCGCCGCCCCCTCCAAGGGAGCCCCACGTCTGCATCGGACTGGGGCAGGACAACCCGCAATCTCTGCGAAACCACTGGCTGCACGGGAGGGGGGCCTCTCCCCCCCCACAGCAGCAACAGCAGCAGCAGAAGCGGAGCGCACAAGTCCCTCCTACCAACACCCCAACTTATGCGAGGGTGTTGGGGAGGAGAGAAAAGGCGAGAAAGGCGCAAGCGGCCAAGGCACAACCTGCTACAGGGCCGCTAGAGAAAAGGAAGGGCCTGGCCAAGTCCGCCCCCTCTAACATCTAAAGGATCCGGAGACCCCCCAAAACTGCGGCGATCACTGTTACGTGCTCGCAAGGGGAGTATAAACGGATCATGAGGGAGGCGAGAGGCAAGGTCGATCCCAAAGATTTTGGGATCGAGTATGTGAGGCACGAGAAAGCCAGGACGGGCGCCACCCTCCTGGAAATCCCGGGCCCTGACAGCGGCAAGAAAGCCGACGCCCTGGCCAAGGCCCTAAAAAGAGAGCTTTCCGAGGACGGGAAGGAATTAGGGTGATTAGACCAGTAAAAATGGGGGAATTGAGGGTCCACGGCCTTGAAAACTCGATTGAACTAGAAGAGGTCGCGGATGCTGTGGCGGAGGTGGGGGAATGTCTTCCCCCAATGGTCAAAGTTGGACCCATCCGACACTCCCCAATGGGAAATGGCATGGGTATGGCATGGATGCGGTGCCCCCTCAATGTGGCAATTAAGGTCGCAGGGGGGGGGGCGGCATCAAAGTGGGATGGGGCATTGTAAAGGTCACTTTGCTAAATGAGAGGCCCTTACAGTGCTTCAAATGTTTAGAGACGGGCCACGTGCGGATTAACTGCAACAACCCGTCTGACAGGAGTAACGCCTGTTACAGGTGCGGCTCGACGGGTCATGTCGCGAGAGACTGTGAGGCCCCCGTGAGCTGCCCTGTGTGCAGGGATAAAGGGCTCCCCCATGTACATAGGGTGGGGGGTCCCGCTTGCAAGGCCCCAAGAAACAGGGGAAGTATGGGAAAGGGTGTAATCATGGGTGCGGCCTCGGCCCCCGGGTCTACCCCAAGACGCCCAAATCTCCTGGGAAGAAGGAAAAGGCGACAAAGAGGAAAGAGATGACGGGCGCGACCTCAGCCCCCGCGTCCGCTCCTGTCGCTCCGGTAGCGATGGATGTGGAGGAAGCGGGACAACTGGGCGTGGCCTGGGCACTCGCGTCCACTCCTGCTCTAGACAGGGAAGTGGAGGAGGCGGGTTCATCGAGCACGGCACGGGTCCCCGTGCCCGACCCCGCAGGTGAGACGGATAAGGAGGCGGGACCAGCGGGCGCGGCTTGGGACCCCGCGTCCGCTCCCGCATGTGAGGTTAAAGAGGAGGTGGGAATAACGGGTGTGGCCTTGGCACCCACGCCCGCCCGTAAACTGGCGGAAAAAACGTCGGACGACGACGGAGACTCCTGGATCATACCGTGGGATAAACCGAGGACTCAAAGATCCAGGGAGGAATTTGAGCGGTTTGGTGTCAAAAACAAGGCACTGACACCAACACCAACACCCGCTGCCAAGGAGAAGGAGACCGTAGATCTCACGGAGGACTCTGAGTAGGAACATTCCCGCCTACCAGGATCCTCCAAGCGAACGCGAACCACTCCGCCATGGGTCAGGATTTGTTTTTAATCAGACCATGGCGGAGGGTGGGTTCGAGTTGGGAGTGGTCTCGGAGCCGTACTGGATTCCGAGGGACCACCCCAACTGGTTTACGGATCCTACTGGAGAGGGGGTCGCAATTTCGTGGCGACCAACAGCGACGCCACGCCCGTGCTCCAAGCTTGGAGCCGGGCACGGATTCGTGGCAGTTGAGTGGGGAGAGTGGGTGGTACTGGGGTGTTACGCCCCACCAAGTTGGAAACTCCCCTTTTTCAAGATCTTCCTGGCAGGGCTGGGGGACAGCATCCGCGGATGCCTCCCCCGGCCGACGTTGGTTGCGGGGGACTTCAACGCGTGGTCTACGCTATGGAGTTCCTCGCAAACCAACGGGAAAGGAGGGGAGATGGTGAACTGGGCGGCGGCATTTGGCCTGTGTCTCCTAAACACGGATTCGAGGAGCACCTGCGTGCGTACCCGGGGGGAGTCCATTGTGGATCTCACGTGGGCTTCCCCGTCGGCCGCGCGCAGGATCACGGGTTGGTGGGTGGGCGAAGATCTGGACTCGGGGCCCGATCACAGATACATCGTGATCGAGGCCTCGACCACCCCCACCGGACAGCTCGGCCGCCGTCGGCGTAACACCCGCAGGGGATGGGTCCTCAGGAAGATCAATGAGGACATCCTGATGGCGGTCATTCTGGTGGAATCCTGGCCAAAGCCATCTGGCCAGGCCGTGGACCTGGAGGAGGAGGCCACGAGGGTCGTGAGCATGGTTGAAGACGCGTGTGAGGCGTCTATGCCACGATCTAGATGGTCCCCCGGTAAGGCTATGTACTGGTGGACCGAGAAGATCGCCGAGTTCAGGCGTCTTTTCTCGGCCGCCAGACGTACATTCCTGCGAGTGCGCAAAAGGGGGGATCACGCCAGAATGACGGAAGCTCTGGAGGGGTTTCGGGCTGCGCGGAACGCCCTGCGAGCCGCCATCAGGAAGGAGAAGGCTAGGGCATAGGAGGAACTAACCTCCACCCTGGACCGGGTTCTGTGGGGGTGACCCTTCAAGTTGGTGCTCAGAAAGTTGAGATCTAGGGCGCCTTCCACTGCGGAGAGACTGAAGCCGGAAATCCTCGTGAACATCGTTGACACGTTGTTCCCCGTGGGGAAAATTAACATCCCTCCCCCTATGATCGGGGAGGCGTGGCCCGAGGAACCGGCAGTCTCAGCAGAGGAGATGACCGCAGTGCAGGCCAAGCTTGGCGGGACAGCCAAAGCACCTGGTCCTGACGGAATACCCGGCAGGGCATGGGCCCTGGCAGCGAGAGTGCTAAGTGACCAGATGGGGCAGCTTTTTACGGCCTGTCTCAGATCCGGCACTTTCCTCTAGCGGTGGAGGAGGGCCAATTTGGTCCTCCTCCACAAGGATGGCAAGCCGACGGAGCAGCCCTCCGCATACCGGCCCATATGCTTGCG